TAAAAATATAATTGTACGTATTGAATAATCAATTCATGAAAAATATTACAGTATTACAATAGGCTATACTTTTTTAATCAACCAATAAAAAAAATGGAAATCTAGGATTTACTGGTATTCAACTTCAAGAGATCCGAACTTTTATGACATTAACATTTATTTTAACTTAAAGTTTTATCGGCCTGCTGACATGAGCATATATTTACATTTTTATTGAACATTATATATTATAGGTAAATGTATATTGCAGATTTTACACAATATTCGATTTACCGCCTTTTTTTATATTGTTACGAAAACGTTAAACTTATATTATAGCTATATTTCGTATGATTTTCGTTCGTTTTGCACATCATATCGTATATATATCCGTTTATATTTATAATAGAATCTACATATACGCATCCTCTACTTAACCGTATCAATCATAAAAAAAAAATAAAATTATAATTTAAACCTAATTCTTTTCGTCGACACCTTCGAGTATTCGTATAGGTACCTATGTATAAATATTAATACGCTTAGATTCCAAATAATTTTCATTTACCTACTTCATACTATTTATTTTACTAAAATTTAAATATAAGTAAATTATAAAAAAAATATGGTACTGTAAATTCACAATTACATCCCTCGTCCAATAACACACGTCCATCAAGTCGGCACCGGTGTACCCGTGATTATTTACCGCCCACATAGCATCATAATATTAATTAAATACTACATTAATATTCAAAATTCAATCTTAAACTTTAAATTAATGTAAACATATGATCAGTTATAGTATGATTTAACATTTATTGAAGATTGGATAAACATCAAATGCCACAAAATCAAATTCTAATAAACATTTGAAATAAGCATTCAATCAACATAAAAAATGTATTGTTAAGTAAATATCTATCTGTTAAACAGTTGATTTTATGACTATATAAGTTATTAAATAAATTTCAAAATATAATAAAAGTACCTAGTGACATCGCAAAATTTCAAACTTTTTGGGAACAGGAATTTTAACTTCCTCTGAATAGTGCACACCTATGACAAAAAAAGGTAAAAATAGCTACGGAACTCTATAATATAATGTGGTGACCAAATACAATAATAACACAAATTTAATTTAACTGCCAACTACCAGACCAATTACATGTTTTTGATTTATATTATTTTGTGTATGGATATGATAAGTAAATCTCGGTCGACCCGTTGTAGTGGTCGTGGCGTATTTTTAATCGTAATATAATATTGGTTTATATTAAAATATTTTTCCGATTTGGCGATTTCTGAAATGTATAATCAATCGATCGTTAGTAACGGTCGGGTCTATTCTTGGAAAACTCTAATATTGCTATTATTATATAGATTGTTTATGTAGCTGCGGGCATATATTGGGACTAACCCGATAATAATAACTGCTAGGTTCCAACGTAGAAAATATATATATATATATATATAATATTATGTATTATTATTAAACGCGTCTATGGTAAAATATCACATAGAAATATAGAATTCATTTTGAAACGTAATACAATTATTAAGGTTTTAACAATATTAATATGATCATATTATATCATATTTTATCAAGTATTAAGTAAATACTTAAATCACTGCTGGCCTTAAAGGAGGAGTTGGTGGAGCGGCAAGCGGTGCGACCGCACCGGTCCCCACAAATTATGTATTCCGAATATCACTTTATCTATTAATAATCATTATAATATTGTCCCAATAGTATGCTAAATTTGATTCATGTGCCGTGTGGACATGTAGTTTTCTTAGAACACGGGTTGTTATCGACGAAAATCAAGATGGTACCAATTATGCATAGCTAATAAAAATATTAATTAATAAAATATTGTTACAAATTTTGATATTATTAGTTTATATACAGGTAAAAGAATTTAAACAAGACCTTAAAGTTTATGAAATTATATGAAGATAAATTAAGTCCGTTGGAAAACAAAATAAATATATTTATATCAATATTTATGGGCCCCTCAAAATTCTGCACCAGGTCCCGAAATCTATCGAGCCGGCACTAATGTAAATTAATACATTAACAATGCAATTCTAATTGAATGTGTGAAAAGTGTTAACTTATTAACCTATTATTAATGCTTATAGTTCTAGGCTTAATAAGCTTTATTTATGATACTCCATTTAAATGTTAGTCATTGTACATTTATTCAGCATTTAATACAAATTAATTTTTAATATTTATAATCTAATTTAAATTAAGTGTTTATATAACATTAATGTCGGGTTGCACCAACTATTTACACAGAGATAAACTCGTTTATCTGTAGTTAAATTAAATTCTGTTGCACCAACCACGTTTTAAATTTTATATGTTGATAAAAATGTAGTTTTTTAAGAATTAAATTAAAGGTCCATTTATCGCTGTGTAAATATTTATCTACAGTTAAATTTCGTTATCAATGTTTTGCGTTATTGTGGAGACTGGTGATAATCGATAACATTAGATAATATTATTATATTATTAATTCGTATTTGATATTATTATTATAGTTTACAAGTGATATTAATATTAACTTCTAAAGTCGCTACTTATAAATAACCAGTATTCTGGTAATAATCTGAATATAAAAACATGATTGAGCAATACTTGTAAATTTAACTAACGATAAAACTTGAATTTATCAACTGTTAGTTAATCATCATGTAAATATTTAATACTAGATTAATAAATAGATAACTACGGGTTTGGTGCAGCTGGGCATAAGAATTTATTTGAAAGTAAACGTTTAAAAATAAACACTTAATCTATTATTATTAAATATTATTTTTATAACCTTTCAAATTCAATTGAACTTCAATGTTTATAGAAGTTTTAACATTGGAAAATACTATGTGGGCGGGTGAAATTTTACCTTTCTCGGTAAATTGTTTTTTCGTTACATATATCAGTAAAACTATGCAGAATGAAATTATACTTCCATAGTAAATTAACAATCGATAATATTATAAACAAAGTAAAGCCCTCTCAATATTATAGTAATATATATTTAATAAAATAACTTTTATAGCTTTTATATCTCATTTAAAGTCTTTACTGCTTCCGTATTTTGTGTTTGTCTTTCCCTATTTTCTCTAGGTTTTAGCTCCGTTCCTTGCGCAATCTTTAGGAGATCTGCTTTAATTTTATCCATCCAATTTTGTTGGCAGCCTCTGGAATTTTTACCGCTGATTTCATCTATCAATCCTTATTTACAGATACTATTATCTCTCTATTATCTATCTTGCCTGCTTTTACTATTATAATCGTTTGCTTCTAATAAATGCTTTTATATTTAGTTTTTGACATAGTTGGTAGATTTCTTCGTTCGTTCTTGTTCGTTATTCTCCATTTTAAACAATTGGACCATAAATTCTATAAAGTACTTTCCTTTTGAAAATTAATAAAAGATTGTTAATAAATAGTTATTCAATAAAACATAAATTATAAAAATCATTATAAGAATAATCTATTTAAATTTGTTTATTTTAATCGTAATATTAATTAATAATAATATTACATGACGTGTTTGCGATTAATTTAATAATAATTATTGTATTACTGTCTCGGTTATATATTGTAATTAATGTTTTAATACATACAAGTTACAACGCAATCGAATAGTGTTCAATTTTCTTATTTCGTTTAAAACATAGTTCACACGATGATAGTTATTATCGTGGTAGTTAGTGTGACAACTACTATGATATTAACTAATTAGTAATGACTCTCACAAAGATTGACTATCCATACAATTTTATAGTATAGTAATATTATAGCAAAAGACATTATAGTGGAGTAAATTCAATATCAAATAGGAACGTCTGTAAATGTATGACACAACAGTATACAATATGGAAAAATTATGTTTATATCACGTATTCACATGGTGATTGTTATTATCACTCCCACAGTCTCACGAAAGTAACCATCAACTATCGTGCATGCATATCTAATTATTGTTTTCACTCGACGATAGTTCGTGATATAGTTACTACTAAGGATATTGCAAATTTCGCGACTATCACGATATAGTTACTATATTCGTTTGTACCGGGCTTTATTTAATCAGTTTAAAGTATGCGTGTTTCTTTTTTATTCTGTAGAAAGGGTCAAAAAACAAAATACAACGCATTATATTGTATAATATTATGAAGGTAGGTAATATAGGTATACCAATATAGTTTATTTGAATGCCCGATATTATGCTGCAAGAAGATTTTATCTCATTTTTTCAGCGTTGTTTATTCTTATTTAGTTTGGTAAAATATTAGATAGTATATTGTAAAAATAAATAAAAAAAATCCACTTATATAGAGACAGCAACAATAATAGTCGTTGAGATGATAAAAACAATTTTAATTAACATTGGCACAAGGGACATTGGAAAAACAAATAAATTAGAAATGATGGAAAAAAATATATATTGTTCAACGAAAGTTACTTAAATAAGAGAAAACGTATTTGTTGGGCTGTTTATTAGCCCAAAGGTATTTAAGTATAAAGGTATTTATTTTGAACTTCCGTTGGAGAATATTATTGAAAAAGAATGATTCTCGTCGCATCAACAAAAAAATTATTTTTCTTTTAAAACCCGTTTAAATAAATAAAAACAAAAATAAAACGGATCGGGATACTATATTAACCACTTGACACTACAAATAAGACGGAATTTTTAATAATTATTAAAAAAAATATATATAAATTCGCTTTTAAGTATACATATAATAGTAGCCCCCGTTAAGTCACAAGACGTAATTAATTTGTATAGACGTGAAATTTGACCAAAAATCTGACATGATTATTGAGTAGTTATTCGTTTTACAAATTTTAAATAAAATAATATTATCTTTAAGGTTTGAAATATTTATTGATTAAACATTTCAAAAATTACCACGGTAACCTCAACGAAAATACCACTACTGACCGATATGTGTGGCAATCCTGTCATAAAAAAAAAACCTCCATGTTCAAACCTAATATTGTTCCAAAGAGCAGCTTGTGTCCTAAAACCTAAGTGATAATTTAAAATCTAAAACTTTTAGTCTTTGAAAAATCACATCTGATAGAACCAAATAGGGGAGAAAGTGAAAAATTCTACATTAGATCAAATTTTGAAATGGAAAAGTCGTGTGGAAGAGATAATTCACAAAAACCATATTATAAACGAAATTATAGTGTAACATAATTTTGACTAATAATATCCATATTTATTGTATTATAATATTATGTGACCTGTATATAACGTATAATCGAATCAACAAACGTTTATTTGTTTACCTCTCATTTATACACAATATTATATAATATGTAAATCAAATAGAAAAAAAATGTATTCTTCTCCTGCCGTATCCGTGTTTCATTTTTAAAACCATTCCGAGCAGGGGGCATCAGTATACCGGTAAATTAAAAAAAAAATCGTACGTTTTATTAGAAGTACCATCTGTATTCGAAATTTCTTATATAAGTACGCGGTACAAAGTGAAATTTTTTACCAAATAACGTTTTCAGAAAAAAAAAAACATATTATTATTATTATTATTACTGTAAAAATAATAGCTCTCTTCCCAATCCTCTGTTTATATGATAATAACGTGATAATAAGCAGGGCTCAAATACGTTTTATAATTTTCCTAAACTATATTTATTAAAACATTTGTTACCTCCCAAACAGCGGCAGCGGTGAGGTACCTACTAGATTTATTATTCGTATTATGAAAATTCGATTAATAGTTTGCTGCAGGATCAGTCGAGGCTTATTAAATAATACCTCATGGCTTACAGTGTTGCCTCGAAATTCTGCAGAAAGTCATTGAGTATACCACTTGGCACTTAAATACCAATAGGTACCTAATTTATCGTTTTGATTTTCAAGTCTCCATCATAATTATTATTTATATTGATATAATATTAAAACTCTCTCGCATATATTTTATTGTTGCACATTCTAATATTTTTTATTTTTATTTTGTATTATTATTTTTTTTTTTTAATGTTGACTAAATATAATAAATAGCCATTAAAATTGAATAATAATAATAAACTCAGTGTTCTCGAAAAATAAAAAAAGAGAGAAAAACTTTATAATTGGCTACTGCAGTTAATATTACTTACTATAGGTATATTAATTATAAATATATAATGTATATGTAAATATTGTTCAATTTTCCTAACGAATTAAACGAGTGTCTACAGTGTTTACAGTAAACATTAATATTATTACGATATTATTATCATATTAATATTTAATAATAGACATTAAATAAAATAACAAGATAGCCGGCTGTATCAGTTTTTTTCTTAGTTAATCTGCAGATTTTCAACCGTATGAGAATCAATGTTCTCATTAAATTATAATTGGTACCCCAATTATCTATCGGAATACCGAAACGACTGATTATATATCTATTAAATAAATAGTAACTTTTTCACCAGACGAACAATATTATTCAAAATACCCCGTTCAGTTGTCCATAATATGTATCTATCCTCGATAATATCAGATTAATTAAAGAACATCTAGACGGTATGATAAGTCCCATTTAATAAATATAAAGTTTGACTACCATAGATGTTATTATTAGGCGGTCAAATTTTATACTGATGATATAGAAAATTCGATTCTGGTACTGTTCAGACATCTGCTATATACTGTTCGACGTTCGTTTACTTACTCGAGGCTATTAACGAACGCCATTTATTTTTTTAGACCGTGTGTGGTATTATCTATTATTTACGGATAACTGTTCTATACGTATTTTTACCATTTTTCCTGCAATGACCAAGACCGAGATTTTTCTTAATATTTCACAGATATAATAGTTATCACAACATAAAAGTGAATGATAAGGCCTCGAGCCTCGAATTAAATAGTGAATTGAAAAATTCACATATATTACTAAATATACGTGAAATATACTACTTTTAATATACTGGGTGATTCATTGTGCGTGCTCATCCAATTTTGTTAATTAAATTTGGCATATATTAAAATCCCGATTTTTGGAATTTTTAAGTGTAATTAAAGCTGATATTTTCGAATACTTAGATGTACATAACATTTATAGAGTATCCTGTGGTGATACTAATTTTTGTTTTTCAAATGAGAACTTATATTAAAAATTTCATAAATAGACACAGAATTTGATTATTTTTATTATCTCCGGAAATATTACAACAGATATATCTTCGTGAGGCATCCTGTATAATATTTTAGTAACTTGCCAGCAAAATAATATGTAAAGCAATGTCATTTTTTCCCGATTTATCACGACAGCTCTGATACTGATAAAAAAACAAATAGTCTGCACCTCCTTTCCCCCACCACTATTATATAAAATTGCATAACTATAACCTATTTACTTATAGCTGAATTTCTAATTACTTTCGGTTTAATCAAAAAGTAATCCAGCGGCGTTGCTAATATTCAATTCCACGGACAAAACAATGATTAATCCACTACTCCATTTATGAAATTGATCTGTGATAATAAATATTACTACTCGTATGGTATAACGTAACCGTTACTAAAATAATCACTCACTGCGCTAGTATCACGGGTATCAGAAAAACAACAAAATTGACTTTCTATTATATGTATATTTAATACATGTATATATGTATATTTAACTTCGTGTCCAGTTCTGTATATCAGCGTTACTCAACCATAGAATCGCGGCCCAATTTTGGATCATGGGTAATTTTGAATGGGTCGCCAAAAAATAAAAACGTTAATATAATATTTTCATATTAGACTATATATAAAAAATAGTTTAAAAAATAATAAAATAATAAATGAAACATTTTCCGTAAATTATTTTTCTTGACAAACAAGTATAAATAAATTCATAATTTTTCAGAATTATTTTCAAAAAAATCTCATAACAAATTTGGTAAATATCTTAGGTTGCTAACACACAAAGATTAAGAACCGCTGCTGTACATTATAGTTCATAATATCTACAATTCAATCGATTATCAAAGTTTTTTTAAAAAATTATCATTATCTGACTCACCTACACGACCATTAGTACGAACATATTATTTACACGATGAATGGGGTAGCACGTTCTAATCGGGAAATTATTTGGTTGAAACTATACTTTCATAGAAATATTTGTTTGGAATTCAAATCCGTGGAACGTAATGATCCGGAAATAATCATATTTCTAAAATATTTTTGTTACTTCGTAAAATAGATGTTTTTAAATCGCATTTTTTCACTTGTGATCTACCTGACCTTTTCATAACATATCGAGGGTATTACTTATAAAAAAAAGACAGACCTACTTCGTAAAATGGATGAATCACGGTTATAGGTGAAAAATTTAAAAGACAAGAAGGGAGATTATATATATCTGAAATACGATTCTGAATAGAATTCTGCAATACGTGTACATCAATTTTTCCGTTTTTCCTAAGTTTTCCCGGTTTTTCAAAATTATTATGAATTGCTTGGAAAATCAAAAAATGATTTTCCTAAAATACCAACTAGATAAAATCTATCTTCAGAAAAGATGGTAAACTTTAAAATCGGCTGATTGCTGGTAGATATTTTGTACACAATATAAAAAAAACATCATTGTACAAATTTTTTCATTCAACATGAGCTCGCGATACAACTAGTGGAGGTAACTGAAGTCACAGACAAAACAATTATTAACATATTCTAGAGTAAACCACTGGTTTTTTCTTGAAGTTCCATTATTTTACTTTCCTGACTTTTACAACCTGAAATGGATATTATTTGCACAGTACAATTATAATGATAATAATAATATAACCAATGTTTTAATACCAGACATGCAGCATTTGTTTTGTTTGATTAAACGTGTAGTGCAGGATTATATAATATTGAATTATACATATTTTTTATTCAATTATAACTCGTATAAAAATAATACGTAGCTATATTATTATTATTATTATGTCGTTTTGTCATTATCCATCACGATACAAAATATAATTTCTACGAATAAAAAAATAAATAAATAAATTTCAAGTGTATATTTTTGTTAATTATAATATATATATATATGAAATTATCCTGCAGAGAATATAATATGTTAATTAATTAGAAAGTTGGTAAAACTATAATGCATTGGTTGTTCGTGGTGTGTTTTTAAAGTAATGTAATATGATTAGTGGCCTAATAACTTTTGATTAATAATGTGAAATTAATCCGAAAATCTGAAAAATCTGGATATCAAATTTTATACAAAAAGAATCCAGATTTCAAATTCCAGGATTTCAAATTAAGTTTTTGATTCTATTATATGTATATTATATTTTTATATTTTTTGTATTAAAAAAAAAATGTGTAATAAACTATTTTTAAATAGATTTTCCGATTTTGAATTGAATTTCCCCCCCCCTCCTCCACTACTTTTGATATGATTAAAAAAATGTATAACATTTGAAAATAGTCGTTTTATTATTATTATTAGGGGCGTTAAAAAAAAGAGTTGACTGGCGTTGTAAGCAGAAAGTTAGAAATGTAGAATATAATTTAGGTAGTTATTTAGTTTGTATTAATATTATAAACATACTAAATGTTTGAACATTAAATTCAACTCAATTAAACTCTGCATAAAATTCCAACACTCTGTCAGAAGCAGCCGTTTAACAAAAAGTAATAACAGGCAACGAATGCAATGTGACAAAAGATGATTTCAGATCTATATTTATTCTTCAAAACACTTTTTATAAGCAACAGTAATATTAACCTCTGAAGAAAAGAAGAATTAAAGTGGTAAAAGGATCCAGACAACCTAATCAACGAGAATTATTGCTTGCCACCTATGTAAAGCGACTACGAATTATATTGGAATCCAAGGCCGCATTTATATGAATTTTTTTTTTAAAAATATTTCGTTATAGTGCTTTGGGGATATGGGGTAGTCTACAATTTTCAGAAAAATTAAAACGATCTATAATTTATTGCTTAACATATCTATAACCAAGTCTGCGAGCCTTCGACCACATCCACTTACTTGCTCATATAAGAATATAACCGTATGATAAACACAACACATATAATTAACCGTGTGTAGCCAAAAGTTAATACCTAAAACCTATTTTCATGAATTGGTGGAACATTTTAGGTTGTCAACAAATTCGTTGCTGTCATTTTTACCGTTTGGTTGTTATTACTATTCTGAGAACTATAACTTCTCGTGTAATTTATCGGTGTAGTAACAATGGTTTACGATAAACGAGACAACACAAACGTTTAAAAATTTAGTAATACGAATATAGATATAGGAATTCTACACGATCATTATAATATGACATAATCGTTAAATATTTGAACGATACATAAGATAGTCAAAAGTGTGTATAGCCGTATAGGTATAAATACAAAATTTAATTTAACTCGCATGAATAAAAATAACGTTACATGCGTTTAAACGCGTATGCATACAATATAACAAAAAACCCCATAGATTATATATTATATTATACCTACCCTCGTATTATATTTATACATAGGGAGTGTTGGCATACCACAAACGCGTGGATTAGGTTAGGTAGGTTCGTTATGTTAATTAAATTTGAAAGTGATACCCTCTCTATACCCGTACTTTAGAAATATGATTTCGAGAGAATGACTATATTTATGCGGTTTTTTTTGTTTGTGGGTTTGTGTGCCTGTGTGTACGAGTATAATCATGAAACTCGGAACCCGGAAACGTTGTTTTTTTTTGTTGTTATCAAAATATTATGTTTCCGAGCGGTTCGTTTACCGGGTGTTTCGTAATCCGTATAGAAAAAAAAAAAAAAACCATAGAAAGTGTTTTGGACATGAGACAGATTTTTGTTTTCTGTAAGATATTATAAACGGACGAGTTCGATTTAAATTTTACTACCTATTATAAATGGAATTGATAACATTTGGGTTTAAATGAAACTGCAGGGATACAATTTTGTATTTGTTTAATGATAGTATGTTTCAAGGATGTGTTTTAGGGATTTTCAACTTTCAACTTTATGCTCGAATTTCAATATTTTTTTGGAAATAATATAGCTTTCGTTTTGTAATATATATATATATATAGTATTCAGTTATTTATTGTTTTAGAAAGAATATTTTTAAAATACAAATAAGTGGGAGTAAATTCAACCAAATTGCTACTCATGAGTGGTTTATTTTTGTCTGTGAGAAACTTTTCTACCAAATTTTGTTAGTGCAATGGAGATATCATTTTTTGATTTGCTCTTTACATAATAGATTAGCACTTTATATGCGTAGTACTATTGACGATTTAAATTCAAATTATGTTAAAATGTATTAAAAATAAAACCAATTGTAATTTATTTTTCAGTTGAAAATGAAAACGATTTTTAAAAAACCTGCTCAGTATCTTCTTTTTTTTTTGTAAGTAGATGTGTTTTACTAAAGGATATGGTCGCTTAAAAATATTTACGTAGTTAAAAATAAATAAAATGTATACACAGTTGTGTATAAGTGCGTTTAATTTTCGTCTTTTTTTAGATTCTAAGTGGAAAGAAGCTTTATGGTTTTACAAAGATGTTTATTCATTTTTTTTTTTTAAACTTTGTGCAACTTTTCTAATAGAAGGTTTGGTCAGATTTTTTAGTGTAGCACCTTTTCTGAAAGGAAATCGGTGTGAAGAAGTACTTTAAGAAGGTAATTTTTTGATTTTCTCAGGAGTTTTCTCTTCACATGTTAAAAACCGAAAAAAAAACAAGAAAATATAAGAAATGTAGATATTAGTTAATATATATTACGGTCTTCTTTTTTTCTGTGCACAACTTTTCTATCAGCAATTTCGTTCCAACTTATAATAATAGTAATTTTTCTAATAGAAAACTTTACTAGGAAAGTACTTTAGAGAGGTAATTTTTTGATTTTCTCAAGAGTTTTCCCAGTAAATGTGAAAAATCGGTACAATTTTAAACAATTATTATCAAAGAAAATATATAATGCTTATTTAATTATTTTACCATAATATAACATAATATATATTGTTGACAAAGCATCGCTATCAACAGAAATGTGCTCAGAATCGTTTTTTCTTTAGTAATGATTTATCATTGCTTACAGATATACATTAAATTATCTATAACAGTAGCTGCACTCGCTAGGCATTAGTTATACTTACGCCTATGTTATATCATTTTAAATATATATATATATGTTATTTATATCTATCTATATCTATATATATACATATATATTATAAAATAGAAACCCTATTTTTGTATGTCTTAAAAAATACTCTACGGATTTTAATACGGTTTTCACTTATGGATGGGTCGAGACTCGGTGAAGGATTGTAGCTATGGACATCCATTCCTTATTAAAAATCGTCCCTCGAAATTCTGTTTTTATGTATTATTATTATTATTTATTTATTTTGATTACCTTAGTAACTAGGATGAAATGAAAAAAAATTCAAAAGGTTGGTCAAAACATTTCTGTGGTGTCTATGGTAATTACTAGTAATTACTATTAATAAAAATAATGATGAAGATCTATATACCAACTTTAAACGGTCTTCAAAAATTGTTTGCGTTTTAGTCATGCTTAAACAAAGATCTAATATAGAACGCAACACGGTAAATACTAAAAGAGTACGCTTAGTACGTAGTAATAGCACTTCTGCTGATAGAGACTATAGACTTTATGTTTACTCAGAAATATCTAACATTTCTACTAAGATCTTGAGTTGATTTCAGGAAAGAGCAATATTGAAATGACTTGGTACTGATAAAATTCAATGTACCACCAAAAATTTACTCTTCAATTGATACTATTATTTTAGATAGGAGGCGTTACAGTACCCATCTGAATTTTTAAATTCTTTAATCCCTCCAGGGACTCCACCGCATAAATTAATTCTAAAGATTCTCCTATAATATTACTCCGAAACTCACGTCTACCAAAATTATGCAACGTACCATACGTACTATATGTTATTCCAATGATACCAACCAATCTATTATTCCAGTTTAAACGGCTCCAATTTCCCGTGAAATTATTTTTTATTATGAACATCAATAAGGCATAAGGTCAAACATTAAATGTTGCAGGTTTAGACCTAACCGTCCAATGTTTTCCCCATGGTCAATTGTATATGGCTTTGTCACGTGTCACATGCAAAATAAATTTATTCGTGTCTCAGAAGGTGAGACATTTAACGTGGTGTATCCAGAAATGTTTAATGACAACTGGTAATTTAAAATTAAAAATTTTTTTAGTCCGCAGAAGGTGGACAACCCACTTTCCACCTATTTGTTTTAATTCATTACTGACACGGTCAAAAATCAAAAAGAAATATCGGTAAAAAAAATAAAAATTGGCTCGGGCAAGGCCGGGCGGGACAGCTAATATAGCTCGTATATATTTTTTTTATATCTCTTTTAATTTTAGGATATTTGTGCTGACAGAGCATACTTATCAATATTGCAATTATCGCCCAGATATACTATAAATTTAAAGTAATAAAAGAATTATTTTCGTAAATTTTCCTTTACATAGAAAGCTTTCTACTTACTTCTCAGTTTTGTTGAGTTATTAAAAAAATTAATTCACGTACACAAAAAAAAATAATATAAAAACACACATTATAATAAAACCAGTAGATTCCTCGCTATGCTCCGAATTTAAAAATTATGCCCCTAATTTATTCAAACTAAATATATCAAACTATTATTATATGAACACATAGTTTAAATGGAACGCTTCCTTTCTGTATAGGTACATTCAGTAATAGAAACTCATGTAGTGTACATTGCTTTAAATAATAATAATTACGTTACTCTGTATATTTTCACCTTTTCTATATGTGTATGTATGAGCGTACGCGTGTGTATATGTTTATTGATTGTGCAGTAATTAATTATTGGCATATACCTAAAACGACTAACACAGTGTTGAACCCCGTTTTATCTGTTAAATATATTGATATTGTTATAAAATATAAATTGAAAAATTGAATGGGCCAATACACTTTACATCACGGCCCAAGTAAGACTATATGTTGTTAGTAGAAAGTCATGAGAATTTTTAGATAATCAGAGATAATAGAAGAATGTGTGTTAAGACACTGGTCAGAAAATCAAGATCCAAATATACCAATTTTATAACATATAAATCTTGTTTAAACTTCAAACCTAATACTGTTTCTAAGAAGTTAATGTCCAAAGTGTAAACCTAAAACCTTTAGTGGTTAAAAAATTCGGTTCGTTATAATTAAAAATATGGGTGAGAGACAAACCACATCGAGTAGGTTACATTTTGAAATAAAAATTTATCATGGTTCATAGTCGTCAACTTTTTGGCATTAAATTCCAATACTAATACTATAAATTCAAATTTTAGATTCAAAACGTAGCGAGGGATCTACTGATTTTATTATGTGTATTTTTATTTTTTTTAATTCGAAGTGTAGTGAGTGATTTACTGGTTTTACTATAATGTGTGTTTTTTTTTTTCTATCTGTAAATAACTTTTCTACTTTTTCGTTCTTTGTTATCCAAAGTAGTTTTCTTAATAATCAGGAAAACCAAAAAAAAAACAAAATATATGACTTTTTTTTTCAAATCACGTACAACGATTTCATAATTTAAATTC